AAAATATATAGTTTTAACGTATTCTGTATTTTGGGGTAAAAGTGTTCAATATCAGGGATAGAGCGTGTGTAAAATTAAAAGTGGACACTAAGGTCAATGCAGAACGGCGACAGTCAGTTTCATGCTTGAATTCAATGTTCAGGTTATATATATATATATATATATATATATATATATAGTTTATACATTTTTTTTTTAGATACAATTAATTTAAGTAAAATGCTCTGGCTTTAATTAAACAGTATTCATTATATTTACTGGCCTGAATGTTCGAAAATTTTCGAAGAAAATATACGTTCTCCGACAGGAATCGAACCTGTATTCTGGTGTGCTGCAGAGAAGCGTCTGGTTAACAAAGTCCGAATTAGTGTTTATAAACACATAAAATGGCAGTTTCCGTATCGGAATACAGATTCGATTCCTGTTTGAGAACGCATATTTTCTACGAAAATTCTCGAACATCTAGGCCGGTAAAAATATAATTAATACTCTTTTAATTGAAAACAGAGCATTTACTTAAATTTATTTATAAAAAATATTTTCGGAAAAGCCATTTTCTCTCTCTCTCTCTCTCTCTCTATATATATATATATATATATATATATATATATAATAATTGATTTAAAATATGGTTTTTTACACTTTTCTAACCATGTTTCAAAAATGAAGCTAAAAGCCACGAATTTAATTTTGTGATTAAAGACATTAGTTTCATCTTTAATTTAATCACAAAATTAAATTCGTGGCTTTTTAGCTTCCATTTTTGAAACATGGTTAGAACTGTGTAGCGAGAAAAAAACATATTTTAAATCAATTAATTTATAATATTAATGTCTGTAAATTTACATTGAGCACTATTTTGTAAAAATAAAATATCTATAAGAACACCGGATTATATATCTTGTTGTTCTTTCTTTATTTATATATATATATATATATATATATATATATATATATATATATATATATATATATATAAGTTAATTAAGCATCAAACTTAGGGCCCAGATTACTATTTGGGGGAAAAATCGTCGGTGTTGATCAAAATAAATTTTTTTTTTGTTTTTTTTTATATCATAATCTTTTGTCAGACAGGAAATCCTCACTTTCAAACCTGATAGAAAAAAGTCGTAAGTTCGTCTTGTGTTGATAGGAAAATTTGTCATTGAGAAAATAAGTAATATCTTTACTTATTTAATTTGTAATAAGTATTTTTAATTAAAATATTATTTATTTTTTACTATAAATTAAACACAACCTTTATTTTACTAATGTAAATTGAAATAAATAAAATGCATGACTTATTTTCTTGATGATATTTTTAATCTTACCCAAAGGCGGAGTTATGACGTTTGTTTCTAGCCTAAATAAACCTTACGATTTTCCCTTAAAAAAAAACTATCATTATTTAAATTCTGTAATAAAATGTTCTAGACTATATCTGTCAAGCATTATTCATTATTACAGTTTTTTTCTTCTTCTTCTTTTACAGGTAAGCTCTCCTTTTTAAAAGTTCTTGTTTTTCCACCAAAATAAAAGGACAAAGCTTGAAGATTATGATGTCTCTACCAGCTTTGGAGAATCTCTCGATGATGAGTTCGGAAGCTAAGCAAGTGTTGAATGATTTTCTTTTCTCTCTCTCTCTCTCTCATTTTCCCTGTATATTAAAACAAACAGAAGTATCTTATTAACTGCAATTTTACCCTTTGATATTCTGTTGACCAGGTATTATATATCATTTTGATTTTCATTGAATATATAGACATACTTTTAATCGATTTATCCGGATCTGTTAATATCGCGATTCTTCTGATGCCGTTCCAATTTCTTTTGTCTTTTTTATTATTATTATTATTAATTTATCAAATTCTTCATGATATTGTCACAAAGTTCCTATCATAAATTTCCGAATGTTGTTAGCTGACGTGCCGGGTTGGTATCACTCTTTAAGTATTATTTCAAACATAGCGCTAAAAATAAAAGAGGGGACTAAATCAGATTTCAAATTGGGGGTTGGAGATAAAAGTTAAAGACTCCTGATTCTATGACTTTTTATCTGATCCTCCCAAACATTTAACCGACTGTAAACATTTTCGCTGTTGTTTAGATTTTATATCTATCTATCTATCTATATATATATATATATATATATATATATATATATATATATATATAATAAAAAGGCTTAAACACTGATATTAGTGTTTAAGCCTTTTTATTATATCCTTACTCTGTGCTGGACATTGAGTTCTACCTGGATTCTATCCTCTTGGAATTATTTTTTATACATACATATATATATATGTATGTATGTATGTATGTATATATATTTATGTAGTTTAGATATATGATTACATATGTATGTGTATATTAACCACTAATATTATCTCTCTCTCTCTCTCTATATATATATATATATATATGCTTTTCGTTTGTACTTATTTTTGGAATGGGGCATGTAGATCTTTTATGTATATACAAAAGTTTCAGAAGTTAATATTTCTAAAAAAAGATTTTCTGATCTATTTTGAAAATTTAATAGCGGTAATGATTTTAGACATATGATACAATAACATAGTCATCGATTGAGGTCAAAAAGATAAAATTAGTTTTCTGTTTAGTTCTCAGTTCCAGCAAAAAAAAGGGGGACTACTGAAGCTCCCCACCCCCCAGTGTCCCTAGCACCGTGGATGTATTTTATATGAGATCGCATCCATCCAGAAAATGAATAGAAAACACACACACACACAAACAATTACGAGGGATAGCCGAAAAGTACTAATCTGTTTAGTATTATAGAAATAAAGTATTGCGCATCAATTACCAGCACTACTTCTCCGCGTCATCCCTATCTAGGTAGATGCATTTGTTCCGTTCGGAGAAATACACTCCTCAAAGAATATGCCATCAAACGACTGGCGTCACGTTTGCATCTCTACAACAACAGCGTTTACCTGTATGGAACCGCTTACTGGATAAATGTTGTCCGAGAGTCCAAAACAGATGATAACCAGAAAGAATCTAAGGTTGGTCCCATGACCTGGAAACATCCGTTGTCACCGGCCCTGTAAAAATTCAAAGTTCAGCACTCAATGAAGAAATTGTATGCAACTGTTTTCCAGGCTGCAAAGGGCGTGCTGCTAGTGAACTATAACGCAGTGAAACACTGGAATGACTGGGTGGCGGTGAGGTTTGCGTAAGGGTGTCATCCTGCTGCCCTGCAACATTATCTTAAACCCGGCCAAACTGGCTAAAGAGTCGGTCCTTTGGTATGGTGTGGGAGGTTTTACTCCATCCACCGTATAGTATTTGGGGGTCCCAAAAGTTGTTAATCTGAAGAGGTATTTTTTTCAGACTACAGTGTAACCCGGATATAAGAGAAACCCAGATATAAGAGAGATTTTATCTGGTCCCAAATTAGAGCCTGTGTTAATGTATATAAAATAGACCAAACCCGGATATAAGAGAAACCCGGATATAAGAGACTTCTTCTCCGGTCCCGACAACTCTCTTATATCCGGGTCACACTGTATGATCTTTTAGGGAGACATTTATCCTGGAAGCGGTTCCACACTGTTGTAGAAGTGGCTCCAATAGCTTAATACTATGTTCTTCGAAGTGAGGATTTGTACTATCGTATACTTTTGGAGCAGGTGCATTAATTTGGATAGCGATTACTTTGAAAAGTAACATACTAATGCCGGTGACTTATTCTCAATATCTCCTGTGTATCATAATAAGCATGTTGGATTAATAAATGTTTGCACCTTATTTTTCGGACTTCTATATGAATAAATGCGAAATTGGAGCTCAATTCACCCACGAATACTAAGGTTTTAAAGGTCCCAACGCTACTTAATAGCAATTTGCACACTAAAAGCTCAATCACAGAGTTATATATTATCTACTTCTAGATGATATCATTTTTCACTGATTTCTTAAAAAAAAAGTGTATTTCATTAATTAATTGTCCTTTATTACTGCTCTTTTTATTCGAGGATTGTTTTGACTTTCATATAAAAAATAGTTCTGTTTAGGAATATTGTCTTATATAGTGCAAAAAGTGTTTGAAATTTGCATTTTACTTGGCCTTCAACAAGTTGGCATCTATTTGTAAAACTTTCCTTGACTTTAACAAGCCTGGTCCCACACTCGACCGATTAATTTCTTCTGTCTTTACAGTCATATTCTTTGAACAAATATATTGAACCTCCACAACCCCTTCAACATTTTATAAATAGTGAACATTGATTCCATAGAAAAACAACCAGATAGCGAGTGGGTGAAGCCTGCTAATTTAACATATACACAGTACACACAAGCGTTGTCTTTTTTTACTGCGTATTCAATGATCTTTTTCGTAGATTTAGAACCAGTTTTATTTATGACCAATTTGTTGAAAGAGTAGAATGCAGTTTTTCAGAATGAGTTCCGTATTTCTACTTCAGACTTTTCAGCAAGAATTACTCATTGTCGTATATACTTCTATGTACCATATCAATTCAGGGCGTGGGCTATCATGGTTCTCCACAACTTCCTATACTTCGTATCTCTTAGCAGTGTTTGTCTTTTTATTATCCCCACCTTTCCTTGTTCTACCACCAATTTACATAAGCTCGTTAGATAACTTAATTATTGATCTCCTCTGTCTCTTTTGCCTTCAATATGTCTTGTGGGTATCAAATTTTCTATACCTTAATTTCTCATTATGTATCTAAAAAATTTCGACTGTCCTTTCAGATTCTAAGTATGTGTCCTTGTTTCCATTTTCCTTAAGACTTCCTCCTTGAATACATGCTCCTTCCATGGTATTCCCAGCATTCGTTAATGGAATCACATCTCTAGCTTCACGTCTCTTCTTCATCTGTGAGGAGATTATACAACATTCATTGTTATATAAGAGGTTAGATATTATATATCAATTCAGCACTATCTTCTTTGTTTCTAAGAGCATTTTCCTTTCCTTTAATACTTTGCTTTTTTTTCTGAAAGGTAGCCTCACGGCCATGTCACGTTGAAAACACCAGTTCTCATACGATCACCAAAGTTAATCAACGTCGAACCTGGTTAATAACTCGATGGGTGAGCACTTGGGAATACCAGCTACCATAAGCTTGGATGTGCATGTGGTGTAAATGATAACAGCTTGGAAATCGGAAAGTCGAGTTCCAATTCCTGTCAGGTTCATTATATTCACTTGCGTGTAAATACTCTTGGGAAATGCATGAATCCACCTCTTCTTCCTCCAGCTATGGGTTAATTAGTAAGACTTGTTTCAGTAAAATCATTATTATCTCTAAAACAATTTTACAATCTAAAAATATGTTCTGGTTTTAAATAACCTTCAAAAGGTTGATAAGCTGTAAAAAAAAGTCAGTCAATTCCGAAAGGCATTTTTCGTTATTCCTATGCACATTTGGATTTTCCTGTCACATTTTCTGTCTGTTACTAAACTACGCAGATATTTAAATTTCTTCGCTTAGGTAACTGAAACTATATATAGTTTAGCTTCAATTATTTTAAAGTAGATTATGTCCTTGTATCTCATATGGTAGCCATTTTTCTGAAGCTGGAGATAGAAACCTTCTTCATCTTTTTCCTCTATGTGCCGTGTCTCTTCAGGACATAGGCGATCATGGCTCTCCACAACTTTCTAATCACGTTTGGCTCCTAACAGTTGTTGTCCCTTTGCTAAGGCTCCCACTCCGGTATCCATTCACACATGTTCGTCAGGCTCGCTGCCGTTCCTTATTTCTCTCCCCCTCAATATGCCCCACCCCGAGGTGGAGTTTTCCAAGCCCTCCTTCCTCATTATGTGTTCAAGGAATTTCAACTCTCTTTTCCTCATTATAAGTGTTCTTTGCGTTGCCATTTTCTTCATGACTTCTTTTTTTGCTTAGACGCTCCGTCCCAGGAATTTTCCATATGCTTCTTTCTGTAGAACTACATTTCTGCTACCTCTAGTTTTTTTCCTACATAATAAATTATTGTGTTTATATTTATTGTTATACTCATGGGATATTAACCATTCTATAAAATATGTGAAGAAAAAGAAGTCAACGCTACCCGGGGTGGCGCGAAACGGGGTGTAACGTATGTAAATTACTGATGAAAAGAAAAGAACGGCTTTTCGGATTTAATTGGCTTTTCTCTTTTTAAGTATTAGTATCTAAAATTAGAAAATTAAAGACGTATTCATTAAAAACTAAAAAGCACTTGTAATTTTTTTTATTATTATTATTATTTTTTAATTTTCAATTTTTCCCTCCTAAAAAAAATGAAGACCTAAAATTCACGTCAGAGAATACCGTGAACAATTAGGATCTACTTGGACTTCGCAGATTCTAGAATTTTATTTTATTTTGTTTTGTTTTTAAATTAAAAACAAAGACTTTTTTTCAAAAGATTATTTTATTCTTCAATAATCCATTTCCTTCTGGAGGAACGGGCGTAATTTTTCATTTTAGTTCACCAGACATAACTCTTCTTAGTGAATGTATGAGTACATTTTATTAAAAATTCAATATTAAATTCACAGTGACTCATTCAGGGCATGTTGTTTGTTAAATAAAAGGAAGAAGAAAAGTGTAGTGACAGAGAAATTAAGGAATAATAAGAAACGAGAGAGAGAAAGAAAGAATGAAAATAGTCAGAAAGAATGGACGGACATAAGACGTAAAAAAAATTGGGTTTGGTCGGCGCGGGGAGTATTTTGTTTTTGTTGTTTTTTTTTTTTTTAAAAACTAAGAGAAAATATTTTAAATGATGAAGGAAGTGAGAAGGAGCGTAAAATGAAGGAAAGGAATATTTGGAGGAAAACAGAAAATAATGGTTAATGGAAGGAAAGAAAAAAGAAGAAATTAAAAAAAACAGAAAGAAAGAAAAAGAACAAACAGAAAAAGAGAGAGCAGCAAGAAAGAAAAAAGAGAAAGAGCAGAGAGAAAGAAAAAAAACAAAGAAAAAAGACGGAAAGTAACAAAGAAAGGAAAGAAGAGAAAGAAAAAGGAAAGGGGAATAGCAGAAAGAAGGACAAGGAACAGAAAGAAACAAACAAAAAGCAAAGAAAGAAAAAGAACAGAAAGATAAAAAAAAAAATGAAAGAAAAGAATGAAACTAGAAATTAAAAAAAAAATGACAGTCATTTTCTTTCTTTGCTATTTTCTTTCTTTATTTCTTTCTTTGTTAAAAAAAAAGAAAATGAAAGAAAGAAAAACAAAATAAACGAGAGAAAGGATCCAAAAGAAAAAGTACGAAATTTAAGAAAATCTATAAAGACAAAAGGACAAAGAATAAGAATTTAAAAAATTGACTAAAAAAAAAGTAGGTAATAAAAATTTGAAAGCAAAGGAAAAGTTGGAAAAAAAAAATCTATGAAAAAAACCCCCCAAAAAACTGAGAATAATAAATGATGAAGTAAAGCAAATTATAAATAAAATGAAAGAAAACTACCCAATCGCTTTTGCATACCCCACCACCTTTCAACATCCACCCCACATTCACTGCTTGCCCCAATTTCTACCCCCATCCACCATCAGCTCAGTTGTTCGTTGGTTGTCGGCTTGTGTCTTATCATTTTAGTCAAGCCCAGCTGTGTACAGATTAAGTAGGTTTTTTATTTTATTTTCTTGAAGAAAAAAAAACCCTAAAAAAATACTACTCTCCGATGCGTACCCACCCAACCCTACCCCACCGCTCACGAACTACAATTAAGGAATGGTGATAGTTGTAGCCCTAGTAGTGAATTAGGCAGTGAACTGGATTTTTGTTAAATTATTCATCGTAACTGTAAAAAGGGAACATTTTTGTCTGCCAAGGACCGTGTTTAAAGTCGGAAAGAAATAAAAAAAAAAAAGAAAAGGGACTAATGACTAAAAAAAAAAGAAAATTAAATAAAAAAAAAAAGAAAAATTGTGTGAATGTGGGGGAAGCAGTGAAAATTAAAAAAAGAAAAAAGAACACGGACAAATATAAAAGTAGATACAAACAAAATTCCATTGTGCAAAAGTAGAAAGAAACGAAGGAAGAAAGGATTTATGACTTAGACGTACGATGAACGTAGAAAAAAATGTTCAATAAAAATTGAAGAAAAAAAATTTAAAAAATAAATTTGAGATTCATTTTTTAAAAAAGTAAATTTTTAGTCCTCCTGTCTCTCCCGTCAAAAGTCGGACGTGTAAAAATGGCAGTAGCGATGAAAGATTTATTTTTATTTTTTTCTTCCAGTAAGGCATCACCAATCACCAGCACGTCTTTAGGTCCATAGTTGTTTTTTGTTTAAATACTTTAGATTTATTTTTTCTGAGTGGACGGCGGGCGAGTGGTTCAAGGGAAAGGGGTTATTTTTAAACTTGCCTTTTTAATTTGTTCTTAGTATTGTGTTATAATAAAAAGACAGGTTAGTTGCGAAAAGACAATGTTTTGTATTTTCCTTCTGAGACAATAGTCTTCTCTTCATTTCCCCTTTCTGAAAATGTCTGTTTTTGAGAGATTTGTTTTTTTTACTACACTAGTTTCTCGTTTCCATTTTCTCTAAAGGAAGAAACTGAAATTTTCAAAACAAATTCCCAAAGTTGTTTTATTCTAATAAATTTATTAGCTTGGAATCAAAACTAAAATAAAAGTTTCAAGAAAGATTTTCAATTTTTTAAATGCATTTTTAAAAAAATCTTTTGTTTTTGGAGGTAACTACACGTATGACTAGTAGAGACGCCCTATTTGTTTTTTTGTTTTTTTCTATGAATTACATCCACCGGCCTGTGCACTCAAGAGACTTGATATAGAAAATATAACGTCCGGCAGGGTTCACACCTGCGCCCACCTTTGGAGGGAAAACTACCTTCTGATCCGGCTTATTTTTAGATCACTCGGTCACAGAAAGCTAATAGCCCAATAACAGACTCAAAAGCTTGGCGAATCAGACGATAGTTTCCCATACAAAGGGGGGCGCAGGTTCAAACCTTGTTTGAGGGCGCACGTTTCTTTATTACATTTTTGGAATGTACACAACCTGGTAGTGTAATTTTTTTTTTACACCACTGTTTTTTTTTTGTTTTTTTTTAAAAAAGGACAAACGGGCCGTTTACTCAAAAATGTGTATTATTCACTAATGTTTAAAAACAAAGTTATGAGAAATAACCTTGGGTTAAAGATAAAATCCAATGATCATTTAGAAGGCATTTAATTATTAGTTATTGTTATCATTATTATTGTCATCAGTCCTTTCTATTTTCTTTGTCCTATCTGAGGCTATCTGGGTAAAAAATGTAATAGGAAGATCATATTGTGGTAGTCTCGCAAACGGAGTGCGTCTGCTTACTATGAAAATCAGTATTCGATTTGAAATCGTCGCGTTTAATGATCTTAATCGCCAAACAAGTTCTGACTGTGATGGCTAAAATCCGTCTCTTACATAGACCGGAAGGAAAAGAAGCCTCACAAAACATCATAATTACAACAACAACTAAAAATGAAATACAGAGAAGACATTCGCAACTTGTGTGTGTTTCTCAACGCCCAACGGACATAAGGGACTGGTGTCATGTTTTCTTCGTGAACTAGGAACATTTGTCTCAATAAGCAGCATTTAAGGTAACAGGACAGTTAGAATCCATGACAATATCCCAGCGGACAAAATCCCAGTCTCATATAATAAGATGTGTAAAAAGGCCATTCGTCTGTTAAATTATATTATGACAACATATACGAATTTAGGAAAATTAGGTAACAGAAGATTCGGTAATTTTGACAAGGTAGGAAAATTCAGTAACTATGAAATAAAAGTCGATTGAAAATTGATTCTAGGGCCGTTCTGGAGTAGGGATTTGGGGGCTAACCTACCCTCCCCTATATTTTTAACTGAAAATCGTGGGGTTCAGATAAAACCCTACTTCAACAATATCATGGCCGTACTTACAGAAGGAGGTAGGCCTTCTTCCCGAATATTTAAAAAAAAGGTATTATTAAGTGTTATTAGGGTCTAGATAAAACCCCACTGCAACAATACCAGGGCCGTACTTTCTAGATAGGGGGTTTAAGGGGATGAGCCCCCCCCTCCAGCATTTTAAAATAAATATTTTTTTAAATAAGTATTTAATTACTATAAT